GGAGCAAACCCCCGATGCCCCCCCACACACACACCCCAGTTTGCCTTGCTGATTCTAGAGGCGTTTGCCAAAACACCGTCAGTTGAGCAAGACCAGGCTCACAAGGCACAGCCAGCCAAGCTGAGCTGAGCTTCACACCGCCCACAAGACACAAACACCAGCTCGAGCGCTGGGCACAGCCCTGGATCAGGACCCGCTCGGCCCTGGAGCTGGTGCCGTTTTAACCATGCCGAGGTGCAAGGCAGTCACCCTGGAAGGGCTGGTGCCACTGGGCCTTTTGGTGCGGTGCTGGGACGAGCCAGGCAGGGCTCTAGCTGGGCTGGACTCACAAAGTTTGACTTGTCCTTGTCCCGTCCCACGGAGCCGGTATTCCCGGGCCAGCCCTCCGCACAGAGCCTTGCTCATCCCAGCACAAACCGGCTGGGGCAGGGAAACCCCTCCAGAAACCGCTTCCAGAGGGTTGGGGGGAGAGAAGCCCTCGATGTTAAAGTTTTGTCCGGTGGAAAGGGTGAAGGGCACCTGCACTCACCCCTGCCCTGAGCAGCCCGTGCAGGACGCATGCCAGCGGTGGCATGCCGAAGAGCACGCAGGATTTCACGGCAGATTTTGAACTCGGCCGATAGGCACCCGGCTGTGGAGCACCAGCAGGTTAGAGGCACTGCTCTTATCAAAAACCTTGAGGTCTCCTTGCTCTTATGAAGCAGAAGCCCACGGAAGGAGCGAGCCCAAGGCAAGGCCCGCAGTAGGGGCTCCGTCACTCCAAGCTTGCCTTGCCCTGAAGGTAGCACGGACATCTCCGTGACCTCCTCCCTCTGCACACCCTCCTTCGCGAAGCCATCGAGCCCCTCGGCCACCCGCGAAGCCTACATGCAAACAGCCAGCACGCTGCAGAAGTGCCGAGCGTCAGCAAAACAGGGAAAGTTTGAGCAAGAAAATACAGCTGCCAAGACCATCCCATAAACACACTCTTCACCCTGAACCTGGGCTCCAGCCAGGCTTGGAAGACACTAAGTGCTTTCTGCCAAAAAAAGCCCTGCTGAGAGGCGCTCTCCCTTGCAGGTCCCGTCCTGGCCCGACCACCGATCCGTCCGCCTCCACACCGCCCTCCCCTTGCTGTAGGTCATCTTAAAAATCTCTGCAATGTGCACACACCCCCAAAGCGAGGGGCAGAGCCCACTCCACAAACCCCGCCAGCGCTGGCTTCTCTGCACCCTAATGAATGAGTCCAGTGTGAGTTATCTGCACAGAGACAGATCTCCTCGTCCCACGCACCCTGCTCGGGCTACAGGGAGGTGTCTGCCACCCTGGGCTGGAGCCGCTTCCAGACCATTTGCCCTGTGGCCGGTGACTTTGGATGGGTGACAGCGTGACGGTGACAGGGGGCCGGTTACAGGCAATACCAGGAGACAGGGACGGTGCAAACACTGGCGGAGCAGCGCTGTCAGCCCTGGAAATCGGGGGCTGCACTGACCTCCCGGCACTGCCGAACCGCAGCCGGGGACGTCCCCAGCCGGACCCCGACCCTGGCCGCGGGCAGCAGCAGGTTTCTCTCTGTTCTCCGGCCGGCATCTCCCCCTGCCCGGCCGAGGCACCGCCAGGCCGGCTCCTGCCCCTTGCAGCGCCCGC